TTTGGAATTGCAGTGATTATTTATTCGTCCTTGGTGATGAAATGAATATAATGGGGTTCTTTTTTATTACAAACACGATATTATTATCATATAGTAGAACAAGAGGTCACCATGACGATCAATATACTTTAGTTTTCATTGAGAAAAATAATGATTTCTCACTCGCAACTGTATAGTCTTGAAGGCGAGGAGGTTAAACGTTACATGAGTCAGAATGATGTGTTTCTATTACTGATATTATTGGATACTGTAAGATATTGGGGCTTCCAAAAGAAGTATTTATAAAACACGATAGCTTACAACGTTTCGAGTAAAACAAGACCGTCATATTTTTTATTGGTATTCATTTCCTGAAAACAACTTTGCTCAACTCGAAACGTAATGAAAATTTTGTTTTATTTTTCACTGAATCCGCGTATGGGAATTTTGAGCTCAATGAAACACTTAAGTCATCATCGAACTTTCTTTACAAAAACGTCTATTGGACAGCTGAGACTTGGGTCTTCTGTGAGGCCGGGGCAGGGGACGCGCACTTAATGGCACTTAGCAGCAACATCCTCCACTTCCTCCTCCATTCACTTTCTGAACGACACTGATCAACAACTTGTAAAACTTGCCACCTTTTCCTTAAAAGAAACAAGACGAACAGATTATTCATTTTTTCTCGCAAACCGAATCGTGATGGAAGTTTCTTTGAGCTAGCCTTCAGAGGTGCATTTCTTTAGATCTTACTTCATTTATCATTTGTCTTTCTACTTGCATTTCTCTTTATCTATGTAAACATGAAATCAGGTATGGGTTGTAATGTTTCCCATCACATTTCTCTCTCTCTCTCCTCTCTCTCTGCCTATTTATATATATCTCTTTCTGTGTGTGTGTGCGTGTGTGAGTATTTGTGCTGACAATTCTCAGTCAGTTGGTGATGAGGACTTAGAGACTAATAAACTTTAGGAAAGGAGACTGGATCGCAAAACGTATAAAACTATAACCCTGAAATAAAGCATTGGTTGAAATAATTGAAAAGTTAAGTAGTGCCATTTATGCAATGTATATTTCACCTGTCAGTCAATCAGTTACTCTTATCAGTTTATCAATCCGCCAGGCGTAAATGTCAGTTGCTTTTCAGTCCACATCTGTCTGTTTATATATAACTCGAATTTATATAGTTTACTCATCATCTTATCTAGAGAGAGAGAGAGAGAGAGAGAGAGGGAGAGAAAACTTGGTTACTTCTCTCTATCTTATAATAACAACAATAATATTGATAACAATAATAACTTCTAATAATAGAAAAAATAGTAATATCACAACCCGTTGCTCCCTATATCCCTGTTACTTTGGCCGCGACAAATCCTACGCCATCTACAGCAGCAACTGTCGCCGAAATTTTACTCGTGAGTTTACAGATCTCGGGGACTTTCTTACTTTCCCGAACTTGCGCTTACCTGGTTTCGGTGGCCTTGTGGTTGGCGGTGTTGTGGTTGTGGGCAATTCCTCAGTGGTTGTGGGTTCAACTGTGGTTGTTGGTTCAACTGTGGTTGTTGGTTCCTCAATAGTTGTGGGTTCAGCTGTGGTGGGTTCAACTGTGGTTGTGGGTTCCTCAGTAGTTGTGGGTTCAGCTGTAGTTGTTGGTTCAACTGTGGTTGTGGGTTCCTCAGTAGTTGTGGGTTCAGCTGTAGTTGTTGGTTCAACTGTGGTTGTGGGTTCAACTGTGGTTGTTGGCTCCTCAGTAGTTGTGGGTTCAACTGTGGTTGTTGGTTCAACTGTGGTTGTTGGTTCAGCTGTGGTTGTTGGTTCAGCTGTGGTTGTTGGTTCAACTGTGGTTGTTGGTTCAGCTGTGGTTGTTGGTTCAGCTGTGGTTGTTGGTTCAACTGTTGTTGTTGGTTCAGCTGTGGTTGTTGGTTCAACTGTGGTTGTTGGTTCAACTGTGGTTGTTGGTTCAACTGTGGTTGTTGGTTCAGCTGTGGTTGTTGGTTCAGCTGTGGTTGTTGGTTCAACTGTGGTTGTTGGTTCAGCTGTGGTTGTTGGTTCAGCTGTGGTTGTTGGTTCAACTGTGGTTGTTGGTTCAGCTGTGGTTGTTGGTTCAACTGTGGTTGTTGGTTCAACTGTGGTTGTTGGTTCAGCTGTAGTTGTTGGTTCCTCAGTAGTTGTGGGTTCAACTGTGGTTGTTGGTTCAGCTGTGGTTGTTGGTTCCTCAGTAGTTGTGGGTTCAACTGTGGTTGTTGGTTCAACTGTGGTTGTTGGTTCAACTGTGGTTGTTGGTTCCTCAGTAGTTGTGGGTTCAACTGTGGTTGTTGGTTCAACTGTGGTTGTTGGTTCAACTGTGGTTGTTGGTTCAAACTGTGGGTTGTTGGTCACTGTGGTTTTTGGTTCCTCAGTAGTTGTGGGTTCAACGTGTTGTGGTTCAGCTGTGGTTGTTGGTTCCTCTGTTGGTTGTTCTGTGTTGTTGGTTCAACTGTGGTTGTTGGTTCAGCTGTGGTTGTTGGTTCCTCAGTAGTTGTGGGTTCAACTGTGGTTGTTGGTTCAACTGTGGTTGTTGGTTCCTCAGTAGTTGTGGGTTCAACTGTGGTTGTTGGTTCAACTGTGGTTGTTGGTTCCTCAGTAGTTGTGGGTTCAACTGTGGTTGTTGGTTCCTCAGTAGTTGTGGGTTCAACTGTGGTTGTTGGTTCAGCTGTGGTTGTTGGTTCAGCTGTGGTTGTTGGTTCCTCAGTGGTTGTGGGTTCGACTGTGGTTGTGGGTTCAGCTGTGGTTGTGGGTTCAACTGTGGTTGTGGGTTCAACTGTGGTTGTGGGTTCAACTGTGGTTGTGGGTTCAGCTGTCGTCGATTCTGTGGATATTTGCAGTTCATATCAATATCAAACCACAACTATTATGTCCGCATATACACACATATATTCATGCAGACACGCACACAAACACACACACACACACACACACACACACACACACACACACACACACACACACACATATATATATATATATATATATATATATATATATATATATATATATATGTGGGGGGGGGGGTCTATGGATCTATGAGACCTATGGTCTATGATTTCAACGTTAAAGCTGCTAATTAGTACAAGCATCGGTATAGATTCTGTGAGGATAATATATAGCAGCAATACGTTGAACTACGTACTGCAACAAAGCTTGTTTATATCATGACAATAATCTTACCATCTGTATTCTCGAATAGAAAACTGCTGTAGATATGTCGAAATGGATCAGTTAACGGCTGGCAATGAATCAGAATGGGCCTCTAGAGTTTACTTGTCATTAATGAAGGGTGATTATCTATCTGTCTTTGACTCGTCAAGTTTGCCTTTGGCTCAACACGAAAAAGGCATTAAGTTTTTGTCTCTGACTCGGCCGCAGGTTCAAGGCAGGTGTGGAAGTGTTCCACGCGCCTGAGGACTGTAAATCTATAACGCAAATTTATACAAACGTGAAGATAATTCTGCATCGCATATGATATAAAAAACTTTTTATTTAATGCCAAACGTTAATTTAGTAGTTTTCTACACTTTACCGCTATTTTTCTATTCACGTCCGTAAGGAGTCCTAAATTTGCCTTTATGCACTTTTCCTCTGGTGAAGATAATCCGCTGAGGAAATAATAAGGGATATTTGCTTTATGGTTAAACGTTGAAAGAACCGTATCCTACACTTATATTGTTGTAATTCATTAAAAATACAAATAACGGCGACTGCCTTTGCGAATGATCACACACACACACACACACACACACACGCATACACACACACACACACACAAACACACACACACACACACATTTTTTTCCTATAGGTAAAGGTAACCTATATTTCTTATCCAAGGGCAAACCAGAAATCAAGTTTAAGGTTGTGTAATTCAAAAATTATATTAGCAACATCTTTACAAAACAGCGGAACAGGAAAGGGGAAACCGAGCCATAAGCCCGTTAATCATCGTCGGGATTTTGTTAACCAACAGCTCCTCCGGAAACACTCAACAGAGATTTCTGTTAGATTTCTTTGATTATATTTTCGATTAAATCTCGTTAAGGATCATGCCGAGGGATAGTAAACTTAAAAAGAATAAAATACCTATTTTATATTTCACACCTAGATAAGATTTCTATTATTATATCTTGAAATATTCCTCGCTATAAATATATATGTATAAATATGAATATATACATATATATACATACATACACACACACACACACACACACACACACACACACACACACACATATATATATATATATATATATATATATATATATATATATATATATGTATGTGTATCTATACTGCATATTTTACTTCCTAATTCTACCCTCTTAAAATGACCCCCCCCCCCTTCCACGACTGGACGTGAGCGGCAAAACTGCTCCCCCCCCCCCCAACCTGTCCACAGCCTCACGTACCACACTGAAGCGAGGACCCAGTAGCTCCCACGACGGTGCAAGTGCTGCTGCATGTCACAGCGCTGGTTCCGTTACACCTGCGGAAAAGGCAACACGCGGTAACCTAATTGCGCTGGGATTATGTGTATCAGGTGTTGGGGGGGTGTCGCCGAGGGGATAATCATTGGTTTATTTGCTTTTCTCTTCTGTTCTTTTCTTCTTAACTTTCGTGCTGTTTGGAGTGATTTTTATCATAGGATTGATGCCAATAGCTGATCCTTATTAGTGTTAATATTGTAATTAAATATACGATTAAAGTCGTTGCTGCCGATCACTTCCATGAGATTACATGATATTATTAATATCATGTAATCTCATAGGAAACCTGTTAGTGCAACGAAGCCAAAATTATCATGATTATTTACGCCACAATAATTATGAATTTACGCTTCATTCTCAGTGCCGATGAAATTCACATTTTTGTCACTATCGTCACCGCCATTAGGACTATCACCGTAAACACTTGACCTCGTGCTTACCATTCCTCTCCTACGCTGTATTCCGTGCCATTCCCGTCGCACTTGTCCGCCAGGGCCTCTGGGGGAAGACAAAAGGGACATAAATGGAGAGTGTAGACTCTGAAGAGGAACAATCTCTCTCTCTCTCTCTCTCCCTCCCTCTCTCCCTCTCTCCCTCTCTCCCTCTCTCCCTCTCTCCCTCTCTTCCTCTCTCCCTCCCTCCCTCCCTCTTTCCCTCCCTCTCTCCCTCCCTCCCTCTCTCCCTCTCTTCCTCTCTCCCTCCCTCCCTCCCTCTTTCCCTCCCTCTCTCCCTCCCTCCCTCTCTCCCTCTCTTCCTCTCTCCCTTCCTCCCTCCCTCTTTCCCTCCCTCTCTCCCTCCCTCCCTCCCTCTCTCTAGTCAAACAGTGTGTCTGCGTATAGTGCTCGTTGTATACAAGTGTTCACTGAAACCCCGCTAATCAAATACAATGTATTAAGCATCCGTGTTCTGAGTAAAGCGAAAGTGACCCTGCTATCTTTGAGGTCCGTGCGGGGTCCCTTTTTGCACCTCCCTACCTCCCTACACTGACTTGACGCTGACAGTGAAAAGTCGTTCTTGTCGCGCTGAAAGGATTCTTGCTCTAGGAAGTCAGTGTAGTCGTGCGTGTCAAAGACTCAATTATCATGTTATCATTATTATTGTCATAATGGTGACTTAGATGATGAAAGAATAAGATTGATAATAATGAGGCTGATAGGGTAATGATAAAAATTATAGCAGTGGTAATAATAGTAATAATAATAATAATAATAATAGTAATAATAATAGTAATAATAATAATAATAACAATAGTAATGATAATAATAATAATAATAATAATAATAATGGTGGCAACGATTAGTCTACCTGCTCTGCCGATAGCTGAAGGCTCTCCTTTCAGCACAGCTGTTGTTGAAATGGCTCCGCCCTCTGTTGCTTCATCCACCTGTCTTGCTCAACTGTGCCTGAACTCCTTAACCCTTTCATGGCGAATGCTCTCGACCTAGATTTCTTCTGCTGTTGTTGATGCCATTAATTCAAAATAGAACTGGAGCCTTGTTCGGCCACAAAACTGTCTAAATTGCACACAAATCGTGCGTTACTTGCTTACGTCTGTCATCATCATGACATCACCTTCATCTTCAATTAAGAGAATATTAGATCCTCGTCCCTTCAAACACCTTCCTCGTATTTCAAAATATATAAGAGCTTGTTCGCCAAAGGAACTTCCTGAATTCATTCAAACATGTAACTGACTCCCTACAATCCATTTTAGAGCACTTGCACATCTTTACATCTGAAGATCCGTTTTAGGGGACAACTTAGCGGCCATCTAGGTAAGCGTTCGGTGCTTACCCTGAGTATCTAGGAAATTCGCCTCAAAGAGCTTCACTCTGTAGAAAAGGAATCAGTGATGGTACGACCAATTAGTTCTTAATCTATGGAAGAGAGTTTTTTGCAGCGTCACAAAGAAGTGTTATTATGGAGAGAAGAAAGGAATCCTCTTCAGAACACTGTCTCTTGTAGAGCTTTTCACACGCACACTGTTCCGGTGTTTGCCTCAAGGCTTCGGCTTTTCGTCCAGTCCGCGACGGACGCCAGAACCCAAATTGCTTATCGTCCATTGCGCACTTCTCTCAGGAAGGCTTCTTTGACAGCTGTCAAGGAGCTTCAGAAGTGCATCGGCACTCAGCTCCTGTTGTCTCCACTCCGGCAATTTCTCCTTCGTGTCCTGAGCCAGTGCCAACCGCCGCAAGCGCTGGCTCTCACGGTGGTCTTCTTGTGCCTACAGTAGTCAGATCCGCGCCCCTCTTGCACGTGTGTGATTGTTTTTATGAGTTTGCTAAAGTCTGAATGTGTGTTCTGTTTTTTTTTTCTACCCACCTATCTGTCTCTCATTTCACTTAATCTGTATTCGTTACTGAAAATTACTCACGGAAGTCGACGCCGCTTATGTCCACCAATCCCGCCAGGTAGCAGGCGACGTCCAGGTGCTGCGACTGGATCGCGTAGAACAGCGCGTCGTTGCCTGCAAAAGGTCGACAGGAACTTTTAGCTGCGTGCGTGTATGTACTTGTGTAATTTATGTTTTCAGTACAGCTGAAATCATACATATATATGTGCATGCATACAAACACACACACACACACACACACATACATACATACATATATATATATATATATATATATATATATATATATATATATATATATAATGTGTGTGTGTGTGTGTGTGTGTGTGTGTGTGTGTATATATTTTCATATAGTTATATTTACATATATATATATATATCTATATACATATATATCTATATATATCATATATATATATATATATATATATATATATAACACGCAGTCACACGCACACTGCAATCACTTACTCCCAGCTCTGACCAGCGTGACGTCGGCGCCGCTCTCCACCAGGAGGCGGACCACGTCGAGATGCCCGGAGCCCGCAGCCAGCATGAGGGCGGTGAATTCTGCGGCGAAGAAGGTAAGGGGAAAAAGGGAAAGGTTGTTGGGGAAAAGGTAGTCAGTTGTATGCAAGGAATAGT